CTTCTTTTTGACCCCCGACGAAAAAAAGTTTGACCGCTATGTTTGTGTGTGTGTGTCTGTCTGTCTGTGTGTACAAATAAATAAAATTGAAGTGTCTGTTTGTAATGTCAAAATAACAGCATTTTTACTAAATGCATATGAAAGTATGTACGGTACTTATAACATAAACACAATTTTAAAAATTTTTGCCTGTCTGTCTGTCTGTTCTGTCTTGTCTCTCCAAAACGGTTGGACCGATTTTGGCGGGACTTTCACTAACAGATAGCTAATAATATACTGAGTAACTAAGAGTACTTTTATTTTAGAAAAGGAATTAGGGTTCCTCGCAAAGAGATTAAAAACCATAAAATCTAATCGTAGTAAATTCCACGCGGGCAAAGTCGCGGGAAACAACTAGTTAGATATAATATTTTTAAGTCTATTCTAAACTTCCATCGGGAAATTATGAGACTAGGGACTTGAAACTTTAACTAAAGCTTATTGTGACACAATGAGTTTTAATTAAAGTTGTGTGTTTGTCCGATCGGTAGAAATTTTGCAATACATTTTAAATTAAGTGTCCGGTGCCGCTGAGCTGAAGTGACTTGAAATTTTAACCACGTTTTCTATATTAGTAACATATTTTAGGTTACAAAGTGTTGTCACTGTCATGCGGAGTGATTCCCACCAGCAACGATTACCACCAGAGTTACATAATCGCATCCTCTTGCAGACGTTCATTTTAACCCTAAGAAGTCTACTGTTGGATATGAGTCTCTTCGTACTCGTATCTGTTGCTCTCTGTCGCTGACCTGGGTATTCTACGTCCGGCGTAAAGGAGATCTCTTTCGACACCCACGGTATGGAATGTGTGATGGAATCTCTTATGCAGACTCCACACGGTAATCACCATTGTTCGACTTTCCAAGTTTAGGAGACCTGTAAACTTAATAAATAAAAATTAAAAATTTTGTATTACCGACTTCAATATAAATTATTAATAATAACTCAAAAACTATTGGTTAGACCTTGATCAAATTTATATAGGACCACACGAAAAGCACCAGTTTCAAATATAAAAAATATCATCGAAAACGGTTCACCGAGTAAAAAGTTATGAGGTGACACACATAAAAAAGGGCATACAGCCGAATTGAGTACCGTCTCCTTTTTGAAGTCGGTAGAAAAATGGGGTTTAAAGTTGAACACTATTTTAGAGTTGCTTTCTATGAAATAGCGTTTAATAAAACTGCACAAATAAAAACAGAACAATGTCTGAAGTTATCTAGACTATATTTTAAAATAAAAACTTTTGAAAACAGAGAAATATTGATAAAAATAATAATCTTTGACTTTACCTCTAAAGTCAACGCACCGTCCCCCTCGTGCTCTAATCCAAAGTCCCGAAACCTTTCAGCTCGAGTTACAAAACCGTTTTCAGTGCCTAGAAGACTGCAATGAAATGGACGATTTGAATGACAAGCTCGTGGAAACTGTCCATGCGGTCGGAGCTAAGTTCTGCAAGACCCGCCGCAGAAGAACACAAAAACTCTCCGATCACACTCTTAATCTCATGGCTGTTAGACGGGAGATGAAGCTACATTCTTCAACAGATTTGACAGCATACAGGCATCTGAACAGACAGATCTCCAAATGCATGCGGCGGGACTTACGCAACTTCAATACAGCTCGTATTGAAGAAGCGATCGAGCGGAACCAAGGCTCCAAAGTCTTTGCCAGAGATCTGTCTGCCAGAAAGAGCCAACTGTCAAAGCTGAAGACCGAATGTGGCAGCATCGTTTCCGGGGCAACTGAGATTTTGAGTGAGATTGAGAGGTTCTATGGGCAGCTGTACACGTCATCGTTGGAGCCGCACGCAAGTGTGAGTAACGATCCAAGAGCGAGTCTTATCCGACATTAATCCGATGATATCCCGGACGTCAGTCTGAGCGAGATTAGAATGGCTCTCCAGCACCTTAAAAACGGCAAGGCCCCAGGCGAGGATGGAATTACAGCGGAGCTTCTGAAAGCGGGTGGAAAACCGGTACTTGAAGTCCTTCAGAAGCTCTTTAATTCCGTCCTCCATGGTGGCATTACACCGAAGGCGTGGAGCAGAAGTGCGGTGGTCTTGTTCTTCAAGAAAGGCGACAACGCTCTCTTGAAGAACTACAGACCGATTTCCCTGCTGAGCCGCGTCTACGTGCTGTTTTCGAGAGTCATTACGAATGGTCTCGCGCGCAGACTTGACGACTTTCAGCCTCCCGAACAAGCCGGTTTCCGAAAAGGCTTTAGCACCATAGACCACATACATACCCTTCGGCAAATTGTACAGAAGTCCGAAGAGTACAATTTGCCACTATGTCTGGCGTATGTGGACTATGAGAAAGCCTTTGATTGCGTCGAAATTTGGGCGGTGCTGCAGTCCCTTTAGCGATGCCAAGTTGACTGTCGGTATATCGAAGTGTTGAAGTGCTTGTACAGTAGGGCTACGATGGCTAGCCGAGTACAGAACCAGAGTACGAAACCTATCCAATTGCAGAGAGGTGTAAGACAGGGTGACGTCATATCCCCGAAACTCTTTATCGCTGCATTGGAAGATGTTTTCAAGCTTCTGGACTGGAAAGGATACGGTATCAACATCAATGGCGAGTACATCACTCACCTTCGATTTGCCGACGACATAGTCTTTATGGCAGAATCGCTGGAGGACCTAAGCACTATGCTCAATGACCTCAATAGTGTTTCCCAACGGATAGGTCTTAAGATGAACATGGACAAAACAAAGATCATGTTTAATGTCCATGTCACACCTATGCCGGTAGTTGTTGGGAACACTAAGCTCGAAGTTGTTGACGAGTATGTTTACCTGGGACAAATAGTCCGACTAGGTAAGTCCAACTTCGACCGAGAGGGCAATCGACGGATTCAACTCGGTTGGGCAGCGTTCGGGAAATTACGGCACATCTTCTCGTCAGGTATACCTCAAAACTTGAAAACGAGACTGTACACCCAGTGCGTGTTGCCAGTGATGACATACGGAACTGAGACGTTGTCCTTCACTGCTGGCTGGATGAGGAAGCTCAAGGTCGCTCAGCGAGCTATGGAGAGGGCTATGCTCGGAGTTTCTCTGCGTGATAAACTCAGAAATGAGGATATCCGCAGTAGAACCAGAGTGACCGACATAGCCCAACGAATTAGTAAGCTGAAGTGGCAATGGGTCGGCCATATAGCTCGAAGAACCGACAACCGATGGGGAAGAAAGGTTCTCGAGTGGCAGCCTCGTACCGGCAGGCGAAGTGTAGGGCGTCCCCCCACGAGATGGAGTGACGACCTGGTAAGATATGCAGGAAGTCGATGGATGCAGGTGGCTCAGGACCGTGCTTTGTGGCATTCTATGGGGGAGGCCTATGTTCAGCAGTGGACTTGTGAAGGGCTGTAATGATGATAATGATGATGATTTGCAGTAAATGAATCAGTGTACCTATATATGTATAATATAATGGAATAATAGGTGTAGATAGGTACCCAGATATAACTATCTACAAAAAGAAATCAAAAACATAACTTGTAAAAAAAGCCAAGTCTCGCAACTCAGTTCTTCTACTGTAAAAAGTTGTGAGATACGTGTAATAAGTCGGTTAATTTATTCAGTCCCTACTTGAGGGTTCTTCTGCTTTAAGAGCCCAGTCTTTCAGAGCAAAACAGAAAAATCGCGTTCTGGTGACACATCAACACCCTCCCTGCCCCACCACTTCATGTGCCGCCACCGCAGTCATCTTTCTGGCCGTAGCGTGGAAAGTTGCTCTACTAAGATTTTCCAGTATCAATTTACCTAATATACAGGATTATTGATAATTAGCTAACAAATTGTCACATACAGATTTTCTACCTCATATCTAACTATTTTTGTTCCATGCTTTTATTACAAAATTTGTTACACAAAAAAAAAATATTTTAAGTTTGTATAATTCTTGTTCTTTTGTTGAAAAGGCTTTTAAAAGATAATCATCTAGAACCTGTATAACATGTACTCGTATTATTGATTATTCAAATGAATCTGGCAAGTGCTAGAATGAGTCGCGCACTGAGGGTTTCGTAATAAGTCGATGAAACTATCGAAAATCCGTCAAGTACGTCAAGTAGTTTTAAATACTAAAATAGATTTAAAAAAAAACTCAAAATAATTTCTATATAAGTACAAACAGTCCACTATCACACATATTTATAGTCTCTCATTAAAGTATAATGTAACTTTGTATAGCATTTACCTATATGCATAAATTACTATTCTTGTACAGCAGCATCGACAGACGACTTAGCGCGAGATTTATTTTGATTTTTTTTTAATTTATTCTCAATGGCTTGAATGATGTATGGAGGGTCTTTGATTGGCATCGAACGTTCCATGCGAGAATCAATTAGCTCAGGAAGCAGACAATTCAAATAAAATTTAGACAATGGGCCTACCATTTTGTCCTGCCAGAACGCAGGGTCTCTTTTAACATATTCTATTTTCATAGAATGCTCCTCTCCAGTCCATATGGCAAATAAGCACATATCCATCTCCGTAATGTTTAACTGACCCTGAATTTGAAAATAATAATCGTGGTTTTTGTCAACCGAAAAAGTGTTATTTTTTGCATTGTACTTCCAAAATTTTATTTTCTTCGCTTTAACAGCTTCGTCAGATTGCATATTTTTTGCGGAAAATGGACATTTTATTTCTATTAGTCCCGTTTTTCCCTCTTTATTTTTATAAATACCATCGGGACTACCGCCCCTAAAAATTGTAGTGTTTTATGTATATATAGACCGCAGCGAGTAATTGTAATATTTTCCTGCCGAGATAACTGAGCCAATGCTGTTTGTTCATTAGCTTTGCCATATTTTATCAATGGAACATTAGATATGATTTGCGGTTTCACAATATATCTCACTAACGGAGCGCAGCTGATGTTTTCTTTCCGTTTACATATCTTACCAAATATAGACGCGGTTAATCGATTTTTTCTGTTTTCTAACTAGTCTTGACTAGAACTTTGATCTATCGTATGTATCTGTAGATCGTCTCTTTGTTGGTCTGAAAGTTCCATTTGCTTAAGAAATTCACTTTTTGACATCTGAAAATCTTCTTCAGTCATATCTGGTCTTTGTGATTTTTGTCCATAATCTGGATCATCCATATTTCTAAGAAATCTTTTTCGAAAAGATCTTTTGTACACTTTTCTTTTCAGTTTTTGTGTCTCATATGAATTCGTATATTTACCAGTGGGTTCGCCAAATATGCGCTTGTAGATTGTATATATTGGCCTTTTCGTGTTAAAAGAAATTGCTGCAGCCACACACCTTTCTTGGTATGAATTTCTTTGTGTGTAATTAATTCGTTTACCTCCCACATATTTAGCTATCACCGAATTGAATGTTTCAGCGGGATTGCTATCTACGTCAAAAACGAGACTTTAAGCATTTGAAGCTAAGAATGAGACAATTTGACTCATTTTTCTCCACAAAACTGTGTTCGCTAAGTCAAATGCCGTATTACGATCAGTTTTGTCAGTCGCGGGGCATATATCATCATCGCAGTTAAAGTGACTACCAAAAGAATGGTATAATGCATTCAAAATATCTGATCGAAGTTTGATCATTTTCTGATTGTCAGATACTTCTTCGCGTTTCCGTAGCTTAATAGCCCGCACCGTATATCTGCGTAATTTCATAATTCTGAAGTCCGTTAAAAGTTTCCTTGATTGAATAGGTATATGTGAATCCTTAGTAAGTGCTCTCATCTTGTTACACAGATTTCTTAGAAGATGGTTTCTACACTCGATCTTCTGAACCTTGCAGTTTTTATAAGGATTGCTATCTAATATTTTTTTATAAGTACTTGAATCGCCATCTGATATTAATCTAGCATAAATTAATCCATGAGTTTCAAGTGAGGATTTAAACCCTTCAACGAGTGTTGTTGACTCCATACTAGAAGAACTGCCAGAAAAGTTCTTGTAGCATATGTGGTTTGCTGGTTCAGTTTTTTTGTTTTCAGCTTTTGCGAATACAATGCAGTATTTATTCTTCACGCCAAGGTACAGTATTTTACCAGTATATGCACCGATTATTGCTGCTGCTCCCGATGATGCTGAATAATTATTACGGAATGATCTTTTTGACCAACATCCGTCAGCTATAACGTCAATCATTGGTGTGCCTTCACTGTCTACATTTCCAATTTTTTTTGCATGTTCAGCCTCCTCGACGCCAGCCTTGGTCATTTCTTCCACTGCCGTTATATTGAACCATTCATAAACTTTTTTGCTTGTTTGAGCGTATAAATTTTTTGACATACCAGGTATATCTGTATTACCTGATAATTCATTCAAATTGCTTAACCCACAGCCAATACTAATAGTACCTGCAACAACACCGTGATTTACATCACAAGTGTTAGATGGATCTTCAGTGCATATGTCGAACTCTGAATTGCAGAGTTCACACTTAAAACGTAATTTTGATACAAAACCTTTTCGTCGCTCACCGATACATTTCAGATTTGTATATCTGCATCCAAAGGATTTAACATTATGATCAGCAATCTTCCCTAAAATTTCTAAAAAATATCTGATCGATACGATTCTTCGTCCGTCTAGGCAAAAAAGTTCGGCATCATTGGTCATTTCTGTACAATTTTCAATTTGTAGCTGGTGGTTTTGACAAACATTTATAAGCTCCTGACGTTTTCTTACTGAAATTCGGCGAAAGGGAAAAGCCTCATCAAACTTTCGTTTCCGTCTTTCCTTTTTATTTGTCATATCTTGACTGTCAGGCTTTGTTACAGACTCTATATTTGTTAAAGTCGTTCGTAACAGTCTACTTTCGTCATGTCCTGATAAACGGTGTTCGTTAATTTCAATGTTGCTAACATCTGACAATGGTTGGCGAGAACCAGCAGCGGACCTGGGTACAAATATGCAACTCATTTATAAACAATTCTTAAAAGTACCTACCTAATTATATACCTAATATTTAACCAAGTGCTCATACATATGCACGTTGTTAACTATTGTACTATGAAACACAAAAAACTTACCTTTGAATTCTATTTCTGTTCATTGCTTCAACGTTTGATTTCAATTTTCTTTTTCTGGTACAAGCATATTTTTTACGTTTATGGTCCATATCGAGATTAAAAGTTATAAAACAAATACAAAATGATTTATAAGCCCTTAAAGAATTATATGCAAAAAATAATAAAGTAGAGCAACTTTCAATTCGTAACAATGCACAACCAAGATTAGGGAAAGAGAGAGAAAGAGGAATGTTAGAGCGAGAGGAAGCGCAAAAATTTGGCACAGACAAGACGTCTGAACGCTACAGCCGCTCAGCGGCTACTAAGGAATATTGCCCGCAATTATTGTTTATAAAGTCATTATTTTATAGGTCGATCGAAATAATTATTAATTTTGAAATAAAGTAGTTTAAATGATTATTTTTTAATATTTGTCTAATTAAACACGTGCCCTTGAGAAAAAAATAATTATAGCATAAATATTTTCAGCAATTGCTATGAACCAAATAGTTTTTTATGATGTGAAAACAGCGAAATTTGACGAAATTAAGACCTCTTATTTAAGACAATGAAAGATATTTAGGAAAAAAGAAACAGCGCATTTTAGAGATGAAGATGTTTAGCTATTAACGCGCTGAATAGATTTCGCCTTTTTATTATCGATTGCCTTATAATGGTACACGAACAAAGCTCGAAATTGCGTTGGGTGCGAGAGAGCTCTATTTACCGTTTGATTTATCTAACATAGACCACATAAATGAACCAAAAAAAAATATGTAGCCGTTACTTATAATCTGGGTATTTATGTTTTATCAAAATATTTTAATCTGAAACAATAATTTGCTGTAAAAAAAGAAATCAAAGTGGCGCTAATGATTCGATGTGAGTCAACTTTAAGAGACTGTAGCCTTAAGTTATTACGTAATTAGCTAACCTAACAGCATCTTACAGTGACCATATCAATATCAAAAATCTTTTATGTTTTAAATAAATAAATTGACTTGGCAATCGCACTAAACAATCTAATTTAATATAATATGTATTACTTGAGAGATACATTGTGTTTACATGCGATGGCCAAGTCATTCTATTTATTTAAAATATAAAGATTTTTAGTATTGATGTGGTCACTATAAGATGTTTTTAGATTAGCTAATTACGTAATAACTTAACACAGAAAGACCCTTATCTCACAACTTTTTACGGTAGAAGAACTGAGTTGCGAGACTTGGCTTTTTTTACAAGTTATGTTTTTGATGGCATTTATTTGACTGCTTAATAAAATAGAAAAATGTATGTATTTTTTATTCGAGTTTACCACTTAAGAACCGATTATCGGATATAGCTCGCGGACACTAGTCAGATGGGGAGTCATGATTATAATAATGATAATCGTCATGATCATCGCCATGCTCGTCATCGTCTGATTACTCAATTAATCACTTCAATTACTTGAGTGATTGAGTAATCGTCCTCTACGTCATCATCGTCGTCGTCACTATCAATGATCATAACAGCATCATTATCACTAATGCCCTTCTGAGCATTCACGAACACATTTCTTCTGCCTTCATCAACTTCCTGCATAGTTTACATATAGTAAAGACCTACCACTAAACTCCACTTACCGGTGCAAAGCTGCCACTTGAGAATCATTTTTTTCTATTGGTTTTTTTCTCGTGCCACGCTGTTGATATTGTTGATATTCAGCTGCAGATATATTATGGTTGTAGCGTGAATAGGTCGGACAGGGGTAGGGAGCACGCTCTCACAGAATACCATCGTTATTTAGCAGCTGAATGCTGCTGTGTTTCGTATGGTGAGTGTAGAGACCCGGAGACCCTTTCTACTGGAAACGAGGCATTCCATCTTAGTCCTTAGGGGTGACAACGCATTTGCATTTTAATTCTTAATTGAGTATTAATGTACATGTCTATGGACTACAGTATCCACTTACCATCAGGTGGACTGTGTGTTCGTTTGTTACCCTTTATATTCTATAACAATTTAATATTAAAAATGTTGTACAACCGACTTCAATATAAATTATTTAGGATAACTCAAAAACTATTTTGGTCAGACCTAGATCAAATTTATATGGGACCACGTGAGGAGCACCAGCTTTCAAATAAAAAAAAATCATCGAAATCGGTTCACCCAGAAAAAAGTATAGAGTCGAATTGAGTACCGTCTCTTTTTTGAAGTCGGTTGAAAATTACACGCGAAGTTAGTAAAAGCGTTTTGTAATTAAATAATATTGAGAGGCTAAGAAAACTTAACAACACGCATTCGTCATGAGCTATGATAATCCTAGTGAGAACACTGGGTCATAATTATTAAAATATTGTATTGTCATCGGTACATGTCCTTGGAAATTTTCAAAAAGTCAATCGGCCGTCTGTAAGTTGGTGAAAATAACATTAAAATATTCCATTGTAATTATAAATAGATACACGCAAAACTAATGACAGCGTGTCAAAATATTACCATGTGTCTGAGAATATTCACTGTCCCATGTCGAGGCAACGAGGAAGAGACAGAAGGAAACCGCTTGCCAAGCGTGCCAACTATGGCAAATATCCCCTATATGATGTAATCTATGCGAATGGCCTATGTTCAACAGTGGACTCTTATGGGCTCTTATGTAATTTGATCCAAATAAGAATTATACTTACCTGGCGCCATATTGTCACTTCATAACTGCCAATTCAAACCAGTTAGGCAGCGTGAACAAAACAGGTATTTTTGAAATAATATTTATTTACAAAAGAACCATGAACGAAAAAGTGTTAATCTAAACCTAGCGTTTCAATTTCGCCCATCTCTGCGTCGCTGTCTGAGTCGTCATCACTGTAATCATTATCAGCACTGCTGCTTCCTCTTATAAAAATGGAACATGCATTTATGTAGGTATTTAAAATATTTTACAGTCGAGTATCAATTTTTAAATTATTTTATAAAAATAATCATGAGTTCAATAGATTTGGTAATACTAAGACACTTAAATAGATATCATCAATTTATAATAAAATACCAAATAACATAAAATCACTTAATAAATTATTTAGGAATAAAATATTGGTTTATCACAATGAAAAACAATTTTTAGACATTAGGGACCCATTTATTAAATGTAACTAATATTTTTTTAATTAATTAATCTAAAACAATCTATAAAAAAAATTTAATTAAATAATTATATTATAATTATTTAATTTAAATTTTTAAAATAATTCTGTTGTATTCGATTAGATTTGTTTAGAAAAATTTCATTTGTAGTACTATCTATGTAAATTTATATGCTATTTACAATCACATAACAAAACATGTTATGTTTTAAGAATTGTGTACCATCCTTATCTGTCCATGATAAGCAAATATAAGTAACCAGCTGGTACCCGGCGCGTTGCTGCCGCAGAAGAAATAATTGTGGTAATATCGTTTTAAATTGGGAAGAGTTATATTATTAGGAATGACAATGCATTCATTGATGTTGAATGATATATAACTTACAAATGTGTCGGTACTATACGCGTGCCACCTACTGTAAGTTAATTGTACTATTCCCATAACAACCCATACGTACCCAAGTATAAAATAATAATAAACACGCATTGTCCAGAAATTTGGGGATCTATGAAAACCTTAGTGAACACTTTCATTCGAAGTCAGATGTTCTGTAGGCAAGAAGCCAACTACAGCCAATACAACCAACCAAGCGCCATGATTCTTTTATACGATACTAACGTCACACAATTGTTTTTCCTTCCCGGAACACTTAAACTCTATGGTATGGTATTAAAGTTCAAATTGACTTTTAAGTATTATTACGAATCTTTTGTATGGGAATATAGAAAAGTATTGTTTTTACACTTTTTTAGGCAATTTTTTGAAATTTTCTCTCCGTAAGAACCATCTTCGTACTTCAAGGAATATTATAAAAAAAGAATTAGCGAAATCGGTTCAGCTGCTCTCGAGATTTGCGCTTAGCAACACATTCAGCGATTCATTTTTATATTATAGATAAATAAATAAAATACAATTAGTATTTTTTTATAGGATAGGGTGACAAACGAGCACACAGTCCACCTGATGGTAAGTGGTTGCTGTGGCCCATAGATATCTATATCTATCCTCGTCTGCGAATCAAAATGCAGATGCGTTGTCATCCGTGAGGACTAAGATAGAATGCCTCTTTTCCAGTAAAAAGGGTCTCCGGTTCTCTACACTCACCATACGAAACACAGCAGCAAGCTGCTATTTGACGCTGGTATTCTGTGAGAGCGTGGTCCTTCCCCGGTCGAGTCGACCCATTCGTGCTACAACTATACTACTAATATAGCTGCAGCATGGCTCTACCACGTTTATTACCAGTTACCAGTATTTCTGCCTGTCAAGTAACTGAACATTATCGTTTTTAATAACTTATTAACAAAATAAATACTTCACAATATATTGATTCATTCTATTGTAAATTTTTAGGGAGACTGATGATAGCTTTAGCGGACAGTTGATGACGATGGTATTTCAAAATGCTAAAACTGAGGATCAAGTCACCATCGGAATACTTGTTTCGCCGTGTCCAAATAACACCATGTGCAGACATTTAATATACAAAACCATCACGATCGAGTTCCGTAAGCCGACAAGCCAAAAGTTTTATCTCCATATGTGATAGTTTTGTACGGTCTTTGTTAAGGTTTTATTAACACAGCGTGTAACGTTGGTTTATACATGGTAGAGCCATGCTGCAGCTATATTAGTAGTATAGTTCTAGCACGAATGGGTCGGCTCGACCGGGGAAGGACCACGCTCTCACAGAATACCAGCGTAAAATGGCAGCTTGACACTGCTGTGTTTCGTATGGTGAGTGTAGAGAACCGGAGACACGTTTTACTGGAAAAGGGGCATTCCATCTTAGTCCTCACGTGTGACGACGCATCTGCATTTTGATTATTTATTGAGGATGGATATAGATGTCTATGGGTCACAGCAACCACTTACCATCAAGTGGACTGTGTGCTTGTTTGTCACCCAATCCTATAAAAAAAATGTACCTATACCAATATATTGAGTCCGAAAATAAATGATAAATAAAATTAAAAAAAAA